TCACATCTTTTTGGATATGGAAAGCTAGAAAAGCAGCAGTTCTCAGACACGACCAGGTTGTCATTAGGTTACATGTGGTAATGTATGCCCCGTGCATAAAGAAAAGAGATAAGCACAGAGGTTGAGAAAGAGAGAAAATAATAAAATCTGACCTAATAACTATAGTCTGATACGTTGCAGGTTTTATTGGTCAATTAAACCTCCTTAAGAGTTTTTTTTATTATCAGTGACCAGAAATGGAATTAATTGCAGACTTGGACTTAATAGCTAGTTGATCCTCCTTTGGCAATAATAACCTGCAATGTTTTTTGCTTTGATGTTCAGGATCATTGTCCTGCTGTAGCACCCAATGTCTACTGGCGGTGCACAGCCACCCTGATATTATTTTGTAGGACATCTTGATAAACTTGGAAATTCATTTTCCCTCCATGAGGGCAATTGGTCCAGGCACCAAAGCTGCATCATAGCCCCAAATCAAAATGCTTCCTAACAGTTGTGATGGTGTCTCATGTTGGTATGCAGTACCCTTTTTATGCCATACATAGTCTCCATTAAATCATCTCCATTTACAGACAATTTGTATACCAATAGTGCAAAAGTGGACAAATGAATATCCAAGCTCTTTGAGATAAGTTTGCAACCCTTCCCAGCTTTATGCAAGGGAACAACTCTCATTCCCAGGTCTTTCAAGAGCTCTTTTTTTGCGAGGCATGGCTCACATCAACTGGTGCTTTTTCTCAATAGCAAACTCAAAATGTTTGAGTGCTTTTTGTAAATCAAAGTAGCTCTAACCCACACCTCCAATTTTGTTTTATTAACCGGATACCAGGTTTGCCAATTTCCAACTCTAATTAGCTTGAAGTCATTAGCCTATGGTTTGGCACTTGTTTTCCAACCTATGCTGTGAATATTTGAATGATATATTCAATATGTACAAGAACAATGCAATCATTTGTGAGTTATTAGATAAAGCAGATTGTGTTTGTTGATGACTAATTTAGATGAACATCAAACTAGATTTTAAGACAAATTTATACATTAATGCAGTCATTTCAAATACATTTTCTTGCCATTGTATGTGTATTTCTAAATGTACTATTTTATTTAAAAAAAAAAAAAAAAGATCAAGACATATCAATGAGTAATTTTCCATTTTAAGGAAATAGTACTGGTTAAAATTATTCAATTTAGCAATATTAAGCCACATAGTTTCATCTGTTATACTATATTCAGCAAAGTCATAGGAACATTTCAATCTCCCAGAAACACACTTCCAAAGAATATAGTCAGGGGTTTTAAGAATTTCCATAAAAATATGTAAATCACTACAGATTATGTGAGGGAAATCACTTCACTTTTTTGTTAAGGTATAAAGGAGCATGACGATTAGCAAGAGGAGGCTAATCACTTGACGACCCAGCTATGTGAATATAGATAGAATGAACTCTTAGAGCCTGTTCACATCCTTGATGATACATTTTAGCAACCAGGTGCTACTCGTTACTGTGTCTGACACTACAGATAGTGGGTAGCGGCCAATTCCCAAATGCAATTTTTTTTAAAGTCGTCAATTTCTATTGGAGCCATTCACCACTACTTAATGACTGATTGCTAACTGGTTTATAACTCTGTCACTATTTATTCCGTGATGCGTTTAACCCAAACAAACATAACTCTAGCCTCTGTCCTGGTGCAGAGGTTAAAAACAGCTCCTGTGGTGGAAACCATAACCGGTGTTATACATGAAAAAGTATAAGAACTAATGTAGCGATGATAAATTCTAATGCTATACAAAATATCTCACTTATATTGTGGCAACCATCGTTTGCACATGAGGTGGGTGTAGGAATCTTGAAAGCTTGGGATTTATGTTATATACATTAAAACTGCACAGTTTGACAGTTGAAACTGCTGCAGCATGACATTGGGGAATACTCTAGACTCCATCTTTAGGAGAAAAAAAAACAACGATGATAAAATAATGGCTTGAGTATTCAGTGGAAACTACAACGCAGGCTAAAAACACCCACCGGAGTTCACAAAAAATCCAATTCAACACATATTACTATCTTCTAAGCCTGCTGAAATCTTTCAAGTCACTTCAAAAAATAATAACGTTTATCTCAATGCTACCGAACTCCCTAATGGAAAACAAAACAAATGCTATTCCATTTAGTTGGTCTATACCTCACTGTGTACACGACATCCTTACACACATACACACCATTTCATGATCTCCGCACTCTGTCCATGTTTACATTTGTTTTCTTAATGTTTCAGCTCACGTAACTAACTCTCAACTGCAGAACTTCTCAAGGTCTTCATCATTCGTATAGAGCACCCTAGGTTATCCTATCAGATGATTACCTAGTCTTGCATGCTCTTTATTTACTAAACTTGCATAAACAATTCCACATTCTCATCTTTCCACTCTGCTTTCCCCACACCGTATTAGTTTGTAAATTAAATTAAATGCACGGATACCTGGGGTTCTCTTTCCCACTGATACATGTTGCACTCCTTTTTTCTTATACTCCACTTCGTCTAGCTTGAAAACGTGTACCTCCAATACATATGTATATATAATGTATAATAATATACATAAAAGCCATTCTAAGTGTAATGTCATTTTATTTTTATACTGTTCTTTTATATGTGTTCAGTTAAAAAACAGTGAATATAAGCGAGTACATGGATCTTTGATCTTTAGGTGGGTCAAGGTCATAGATTCAATTTTCTACTCCTTCCGGACACGCGACACACCGGATTTTCATTGTCCCATCATGATCACTACGGTAATTCATAATTCTTATAAAAAGTGAAATATAATTACATAAACATCATATATATTATATAATGTTTTCCCCCTGAAGTCATTTAACCCCTTAAGGACTGGACTGTTTTTGCGATGTTGTACATTTGCGACCAGGAATATTTTTACACTTTTGTGGTGTTTGTGTTTGGCTGTAATTTTCCGCTTTCTCATTTACTGTTCCCATAAAAATTATATATTGTTTTTTTCAGGACAAAAGGGGCTTTCTTTACATACCATTATTTATATAATCTCATGTATTTTAATTTAAAAAAAATAAAAAAATCTGATGAAAAATTGAAAAAAAATACATGTTTTTTGACTTTTACTTGAAAAATCTTTTACTCATCTACAAAAGCGAATGAAAAAAAACTGCTAAATAGATTCAAAATTTTGTCCTGAGTTTAAAAATACCCCGTGTTTACGTGCTTTTTTGCTTTTTTTTGCATGTTATAGGGCTATAGGTACAAGTAGGATATTGCAGTTTCAAAACATACATTTTTAAAATTTATCAATAGTGACATTGTAACACTATTATCTGTCATAAATCTCTGAATAACACCCCACATGTACATATTTTTTTAAAAGTAGACAACCCAGGGTATTCAATATGGGGTATGTCCAGTCTTTTTTAGTAGCCACTTAGTCGAAAACACTGGCCAAAGTAAGCATTCATATTTGTTTGTGTGTGAAAAAAGTAAAAAAAACTAAATTGAACGCTAATTTTGGCCAGTGTTTGTGACCAAGTGGTTACTAAAAAAGACTTGACATACCCCATTTGCAATACCTTGGGTTGTCTTCTTTTGCAAATGGTATGCCATCATGGGGTAATTCTCATTCCTGGGCTACCATACGCTCTCAAAGGCAACGTAACCAACCTGGCCATTTTCAATGTAAAAATATTTGACCCATATATTTGACCTTGTAACTTTCAAAAATGCTATAAAACCTGTACATGGGGGGTACTGTTTTACTCGGGAGACTTTGCTGAACACAAATATTAGTGTTTCAAAACTGGAAAATGTATCACAACAATTATATCATCAGTAAAAGTGCTGTTTGTGTGTGAAAATGCAAAAAAAGTCACTTTCACTGACAATATCATCGCTGTGATATGTTTTACTGTTGTGAATCACTAATATTTGTGTTCAGCGAAGTCTCCCGAGTAAAACAGTACCCCCCATGTACAGGTTTTAGGGTGTCGTAGAACGTTACAGGGTAAAATACAGTGCTAGCAAATTAAATTCTCTGGAATTTCGGCCTGGGTTGGCAGGCAGGTCCCTCAAATTGCAATCAATAAAATTACTGAATTATGTAAAAATGTTACATAAATACGCACGTAGAATTTAAATATATATGCATATTTATATATTTGAAGTCTACGTGTATATTTATATAATTATTTATGTAATTTTGTATATGGACGTATGTATATTTCTTATTATTTTTATTTATTTTTATATACATAGCTATATATACAAATTCATTCTAAGTGTATTTTGATATAAATATATATATATTAATTTTAAAATACAGTTAGAATAAAATTTCATATAGCTATATAATTTTTTTAAATTTTTTTATTATTATTTAAAAAAAAATATTTAATTTAAATTACTTATTATTTATATTTTATAATAATATATATACAATATATTATTATATATATTATATATATACGTGTGTAATTTAATTATAAGTGTATTTTTATATTAATATAAGTACATATTAATATAAAAATACACTTAGTATGACATTATATATATATGATATATAGACATATACTATATAGATTAATATATGTCTATATATCATATATACACATATATAATTATTTTATTTTTTTTAATTAACACTAACTTTATTTTTATTTTTCTGATTTTACACAAGCAGGGAGACTGCCTGTCAGCACAGACAGTCCCCCTGCAGGCAGACACATGGACACCTATTGTGACCATGTGATCGCTGTGTTAAGCGATCACATGGCCACAGGGGTCCTAATCTGCCGTGGGGAGACTGTCTGGGCTGCAAGCAGTCTCCCCACAACCGGAGGAACACTGATCGCCGCCGGGGGAACGACGGCGATCAGGTAAGTACCCCCAGACCGTTAGGACGGTTCAGGACCGTCATCGGTCGGCAATGCAAAAATGCCGATGACGGTCCTGAACCGTCCTCGGTCCTTAAGGGGTTAATAGTGTTTACTCTATCAAACCAAGAGATGTACAACGATCTCCAGTTTCTGAAGATCAGGGAAATTTGCTGCAAAGGCATGTGAAGCATATTAAAGAAACACTCCACTACCCAAATACAAAACATTTTATAATCAACGTTTAGTAGATATACCACAAATGACCATTTAATTATGCTTTTGAAAAAAAATAAAAAATAATAATAATTCTTCACTTGGGATATATCTAAAACTGCTTTCAAACTGTGGACTCAGGGCAGATAAAGTGACAGGTGCTGAAGCGCGTGCATTGGGTCAAGATGTCACAGCCATAGGTGAACAGGTAGATAAAACTTACATTCCAAAAAAGACCCCAGAAGGCGGCAGCCATTTAAAAAAAAAAAAAAACACACCACTATATATGTAATATATTTTTGGTATATCCCTCTCTAAGAAGCACTTTGTTAGAACAGTGGATGGTTTGTAATAGTGAAGGCCACAGATTATATAAGGCACATACAAGGTACCTATCACTGCATATAAAATACAGCTAATTGGGTTGCATTTATTACTGCTTGTTATTTTGCAATTAAGACAGCCATGCAATAGACAACAGTTTGTTATCCAAACAAAGAAATAAACTTTTGCAGTTGGCCATGCTTCCTTTTACAATATAAACTTACAAGAGCCAGTAAACCCTGCTCTTAGTAGGCCTACTATTTATTAATAGTATAGAGCAAGCATGTCAAACTCAAAGTCTAGCACGGGCCACATAAACATTAAATTTTCATAGAAACTTAGGTTTATTTTTAGACCGTAACCCCCTCTACTAAATCACAGCACCCCCCTCTAGCCAACAAGCAGACTCCACTAACATTGCTGCTGCCAGTATGCGACTCCGGAGTCCGGCCTCTGGTATTCCCCAAAAGGCACTGTTCGCACCCTGTGCCAAAGCGGATCCTCCCGCTACCTCTTGAAACCCTGTGAAGGTGGAGCACATTGACTTCACGTCGGAATGTGACGTGGCGTGCTGCTGTGCACCTCAAGGTATTCCACTGTCCAGCCGCAGCCATCAAAACACGGACACACACTCACTGACAGACACACATCATTCCCTGGGATCCAGTGGGATCTTCTATCTGGAGCCTAGTGTTCCTGCTCCCTTGCGCGTAGTTTAGTGATGCCGGGTGCTGGAATATGACATTATATTCCTGCGCTCTGCATCACTACAGACAGCGCGAGGGAGCAGTGAGGAGCAGGAACACTGAGCTCCCTGGTTGCCGCCTGTATCCGGCTTCCTCTCCTCCGGCCGGGTAAATGATAGCAGAGTAGGCGCCTTCAATGTGGGGCGAGCAGGTGCCTACTCTGCTTTTACACTAGGCATGTACTCCCGGCTCGCCGGGCCACAAGGAGGTCCATTGTGGCCCGCATGCGGCCTGCGGGTTTGACATGCTTGGTGTAGAGCAATAAAATTAAAGCTTAAGACAATGAAAATACACACATAATTAGCCAACAATGCAGCACAGTGGTACCAAATATACAATGCATAATAATGTATAGCATATCTATAAATTATAAACAGCCAGCTAATATGCTGAGCTACTGTTATATATCACAATATATCATAGCAGGTTGGAAGGAATACTGCAGAGCTGTAAATTGTCAACGGAGAAATATCGAATAACCTCTGTATGGGAGATATTCCAGTCAGGGGTGGTCAGTGTGAGTGGTACCCATCCACTCTGGGGATGAAGCCTAATAACATTCGAAAAGAAAGAAAATGGGGGGAAATCTCCTGAGGGGAGATCCCCACTGGGGATAAAAAATTTTTTATAATTTGTAAATAGGCTGTGCAGGCTGTCCATGAGTGGAGGCATGATCTTGGCCTATCTATTCAGGGGCCATCATTGGCTGAGAGGGTGGGGTTACAGTGCCCTTAGGAGAAAGAACCAAGAAACCATTTATTTTGGAAGTAACACAGACAGCAACAGCAGCTCCTGGCCTCTGCCAAATGTAAGTATTTTTTTAATCTCCACCATAACCATAGTAACTGCCCAATGGCTAATTAAGCAAGGGAATCAACTTAAATATATAATATATATATATAAACAGGGAAGCCCAGTGGTGACAAGGAGAGGGGGAACATTTCTGACACAGAGCACTGTGCTGCTGGCTACTAATAATTTTATTAACTATTAATGCTTATAACCACCATCTTCCACAGCTGAGTTGAAAAGTTGTGACACTTCAAATTGCAGGACTGGAGCTGTGACTCTTAGGCCTGAGCTGATTCTGACCTCAATCTGTAATGGTTATTGATGATGTTAACCATGTCAGATACTTCTTTGCACCATATTACTACTGCAGATAAATTCTTGCCAGCTACAAAGGTCATAAGAATTCTATTGATCTCCTGCTGCTTTAAAATGCTGTCTGAAAAAAAATCTCTAAATAAAAATAATTTCATTAATAGCAAAAATTGTTTCTTTTCATCTGTTCCAATGGAGATTCATAAAGTTGCAAATATACTCACCGCCTCTCGGCACCTCCTCTGTTTAGGATAACCTTGGACGGCATTCCCAACGCTTGAAAATCCCCCTCTGATGACCTATATGTCCTTTACTGGCTTCAATGCCAGCACATTAATTAAATGGAGTGACGTCAGATATTACTTCGTGAGGAGCGCGAAGGGCGCTGGAAGAGCTTGCAAGACTGGGGGAAGACATTATCATTTTATGAAGTCTCCTACATGTGGTATTTATAGCATATAGGAGACTTGAGCTGGTAAGTCTGGGATCCCTGTATTGGAGGGCAGAACATTAGTTGGCTTCAATGTGGGGAGGAATGAGTACATCTCGGAGCTATATTGTTGCCTCTCTCTAGTTTTAGACCGTTGCCACGTTACTGTCTAGGTGTGCTAAACAACAGCTAGGTGTGCTAAACTAGTTGAATTTAGATTTTACACATTAATCAAATACAACGTTTTGGTATACTAGCATTGTGTTTTTCTAGTTTAGTCTAGCGTTTTGGTCGTCCTACTACCGTAAGGGAGACTCACGTTAAACCGTCAGGGTCCACAGTCACCCGGGTTTGTCTTTGGTAGATGGTGTAGATTATTAGTGTTTCATGTACCACTGGTGGGGGGGGGGAGAATGGTGGAGGGAGGACAGAGTTAGGGGGGCGGGGGGAAATGGGGAGAAGATGGAGGGTATGGTAAAGGGGGGTAGAGTTCTCCCAGGCGGTCGGCATCTTGTGGTCGCTTCTATTGAGCATTTATTCTTTTATTTGTATGTTATTTTTATTTGCAGTGTAACTATGGTTATTTGCAGTTTTTAGTATTATTTACAGTTTTTATTATCGGAAGGGCACAGCTGTCGGTCCTTGCCACAGCATCTCATTTGGATGGCCTGATGTCATGCCCCATGTATGACTGCCAGTTTTCCCAGGCTTGTGACCAAACTTTTTTGGATTGACTTAAGCGTCTGGTTGCTAGCTCATAGAGCTTAGCTGTTTCTATCGTTTGTATACATTCTGTTATTGTGGGCAGAGTAGCGTATTTCCAGTGTCTGCTAATGACAGTTAATGCAGCCATAAGTATGTGGTAAGTTAAGTATTTCTGTCTACTCTGCATTCCCTTCAGAAAAAGTTGGAGAAGGTACGTTTCTGGTTTGCGAGGTAGAAGCATTTTTGTGCTGTCTTATATGATGGTAGTTATGTTGTCCCAATAGTGGGTTAGGGAGGGGCAATCCCACCATATATGAAGCATTGTGCCTTTGTGTTGTTGGCATCTCCAACAGATATCAGAGGCCTGTGGGTAAGTTGCTTTTATACATGTAGGAACTAAGTACCACTGATATAGGATTTTTCGGGATAGTTCCATGTGGGAGGCACATTTGGAAAGTGAGTTGTGTGCAAGGAGAATTTTATTCCATTGTTGCGTATTGAGAGCGTATGTAAATTCTCTCTCCCATGCTGCAATTAATGAAAGTTTTGTGTGGTCTTTTTGAGTATGCATCGTTTGGTAAAGTTCAGAGATAAGTTTTTTGGGGGGTTGAGAGGCGCGAGCATATTTTCTCTACCACCGTCAGCTGTTGCCCTTGTACATTATCAGTCCCATTTAAGGTTTGCTTGTTGAACCATGAGTGCAATTGTATATAGGAGAATGAAGCCATTGGAGTCAAATGGCAAGAGGTTGTTAGGTCTGTGAAACTTCTAAGTGTGTGTTCTTGAAGTAGTTGGTGTAGGTGTGTTACTCCATGTTGGTGCCACAAGGTATAGTTAAAGTTTGGTATCATATGATGTAATGCCTTTATAGGGATGGCAGGCGATATTTTGCCTGACCAGCCCAATGTGCGGCAGTACTTGTCCCATATGGACAAAGTTAGAGCTGTGGTGGGGAGCAGCTCGTTTGTTGCTGGCCTGCTGTGTCGAGGAAGCCATGCGAATATAGTGATGTGTATATTATTAGCTTGTTGCGTCTCAAATTCCATCCATTGGCTTGGGTGATTTCGGTGGCACGCCGCTAATAGGGGGCCTAAGATAGCTGCTCTGTAATAGCTGTCTAAGTTGGGTACTCCCATTCCCCCTTTCTTGCGTGGCAGGTATAGCGTGCTCTTCGCCACTCACGCTTTGTGTTTGTCCCATATGAAGTTTATAGTGTTTGTTGCGCGTCTTGTAGGAATTTGGGTGGTATTTTTATGGGTAATGTTCTAAATAGATATTGCAGTTTTGGTACGACAATCATTTTGACTGCGGCTATTCTTCCTGACCAAGATATAAATTTGCCCTTCCATCCTAGCAGTACATTTTTTATTTCAGTCAGTGTTTTTTGATAGTTTGTTTTATAGAGGTTTGCTGAAGTTGGGGTGATATTGATTCCTAAGAATTTGAGGTGGTCATTAGGCCAATCATATCTGAAGGAGGCACATAGTCTACTTATACCATCTGCCGGGATATTTATGCCCATTGCTTGAGTTTTATTAACATTGAGTTTATAATGTGAGCATTTGCTATATTGGGAAAGTGTGTTATAAAGGTTAGGCAGGGATATGTGTGGCTGTTCCAGTGTTAACAGGACGTCATCCGCAAATAGTGTGAGTTTATGCTCCTTGCCTTGTCTTGTGATGCCATGTATGTTCGGATTGTCTCTGATGAGTTGTGTGAGTGGTTCTAGGGATAGAATATAAAGGAGAGGTGATAGTGGGCAGCCCTGTCTCGATCCGTTGGTTATGTCGAAGTGTTTGGAGCTGATTCCCCCGTTTGTGACTTTCGCTGTCTGCTTGGAATATAGTGCTCCCACCAATCTTAAGAAGGGGTCCGGGTAGCCGTATTTGAGCAGGACTGCCTGGAGGAAGGGCCAGTGCAGTCTGTCGAAGGCTTTTTCAGCATCAAGTGATAACATGACGCACTGGGCCCTCCCCTCCCACCCCCCTTGTCTAAAACTTTTCGGTTCCCATCCGCCCCCTGCCTGCCACTGACGAATCCCACCTGGTCCTCATGTATTAGGGTTGGGATAATATTCGTTAGTCTATTGGAAAAAAATTTTGCTAGCAATTTGATGTCCGTGTTGAGAAGGGAGATTGGTCTTAGGTTTTGGCATTTCGTAGGGGGTTTGCCTGGTTTTGGCGTCGTAGCTACATGTGCCATAAGCATGTCCTGGGGTATTTGACCCGTCGTGAGGATATGGTTAAAGGTTTTTTCTAGATGTGGGGTGAGGATTGTGGTCAGCGTTTTGTAATAGGAGTTTGTGAATCCGTCGGGTCCTGGTGATTTGCCATGGGGGAGTGAGTGTATGGCTTGTTGTATTTCCTTCTGTGTAACTGGGTCTTGCAATATGGTTTTCTGCTGCTCCGTCAGTGTCGGCAGCGAAGACAGTTGGAGGAAACTTTGGATTTCCTGATGTGTGGGTTGGTGTAGGTTAGGGTCGTCTTTAAGATTGTATAGTGTGTGGCAGTAGTTTGCCATGGCGTCGTTGATGTCTTGCGGGTTGTGGATTTTACAGCCTTTGGGTGTGAATAGGTATGGGATTTTTGCGTTGGATTGTTTTTGACGTAATAGAGTTGCTAGGTGTTTTCCTGCTTTATTGCCTTGTGAGTATGTTCTCTGTTTCAGTTTGTGTAGTATGTGTGCTGTTTTGGAGATTGCCATGTTGTTGATACTTGTTGTGGTATCTTGTATTACCTGTACTAGTTGTGTTGAGGGGTTTGCTATGTTTGCCGCCGTTGTATCTCTTAGGGTGCGCAGCAGGTGTAAGTGTTCTTGTAGTGTTTTCTTTTTTAGGTAAGAGGCTCGGCTAATGAGAAGTCCTCTAATGACCGCCTTATGTGCTTGTCACACAGTGGTCGGGTGTACCTCTGGGGTGTCGTTAACTTGGAAGTATGATTGCAGAGCTTCTGATAATGTTGTATAAAATGTATGGTCACATAAAAGTGAGTCATTCAGCCGCTATGGCGGTCTCCCTCTAAGTTGGCATTCCTCAGTTAGCTCTGCTATGGTCGGAGCATGGTCTGACCATGTTATGTCCCCAATCTCGCTGTGTGCTACCTTAGCTGCTCGTTTGTAGTTCCGCAGAGTCTATGTGATATTGTGGTGTGAACAGTGGCCGCTTGATGTGCCTCATAGCCGGCGCCTGCGCGGCTACATTTTTGTGCCCAAGAGTAAGAGGTTCAGGAGAAGTGGGGAAAAGAGGGGTTAAAAAACAAAGTATATACAGATTGACCCAAACGTGGGTCTTGGCACCTTGGCATTGTGCCATGGGGGATGGACGCCTAGACAGCGTCTCTAGTAGTGTGGCCAGTGGGCTCTCATAATTACACAGTTTTTATTTTTCCTCAGAGCTGTGATCCAGTAGTTACGTGGGTAGTGTGCGTGTTGCTGTTGTGCTGGCTAGCGTATTTAGGTGGTTTAAGTTATGCATAGTCAGCATATTAATTCGATTACTGGCAGTTGCTGAGTACTACCTAAGCTTAACCCAAGTAGATATCTTGTTGGTGCATAATTCTATACTCAGCCTCTTCGACTGGCATGGTTGGTCGTGCCTGCCATGGTTATCAGTTTTATATAATGCAGTTTAGCGGTTCTTTTGGCATAGGCTGTGAGTGCACCTTACTTAAGCTTTGTGGTGTATTGGAGTGGTATGGTTGCAGTGTACTCAATATGTTAAATAAAGCAGTAAGTGCTTGCATGGTATGATTTATAGATAACGTCTCATGCATAATAATCTGTCACCCAACATAATAGTCTGGCGTAATTTTGCGTCCTTAAACTGCATTCCTTATGTATACAAAACATCAGTTATTACAGTTAACATTAGACATCATGATTACCCGTATCACGCCAGGGTCCCCTCTTTCTACTTGTGCACATATGATACGGGCCCTCTCTGGCTCCCGGAGTACTCCTTTTGTATCATATGTGAGGGGCACCCCACCCGCCAGCATCTATCATATTGTGTGTATTATCATTCGGCTATCTAACATATAGTATGCTAATCAAAGCAATTAACCCCGTTTAAACTGAAACAAGAACTTTGAAACATAATATTAGTATATGTGAATATCTCACGTGTGCCTGGTTATGGCCTTGACAGCCTAGTTCATCGGGTAAGTCACAGGGATTTGGCGCCATTCTGGTATCAGTTGCCTGGTTGGGCTTGTTTGCGTCGTGGGGGGGTCGGTAATGAGCCCCTATTCTCTCAGTGTCTGGGTGCCTTCGCCCGGTGTGTAGATAATTTTGAGCCTGCCGTTTTTGGTGACTAACAGCTTGGTAGGGTACCCCCAGCGGTATCTAATTCCAGCGCGACGCAGTTCCTCTTTTACCGGGTAGAAGTCCCTTCTGCGCTTGAGGATCGCCGCGGACAGGATTGCCAATATCTTGACTGTTGCATAGGTCTCATGCAGTTCTGTGCAGTTTCTGCTAGCTCGCAGCACAGCTTCTTTTATATGAAAATAATGTGCCCTCAGTAGGACGTCCCGAGGAATGGAATCAGATAAATTGCGTGGCTTGGGCACCCTGTGTACCCGATCCACTAAGAACATCTCTCGGGTATGTTCGGAGCATATGCCCGCTGAAGGCCCTGAATATAGGCCTGCAGATCATTCGGCAAGATGCTCTCCGGAACTCCTCTCAGCCTGAGGTTGTTCCTCCGTGAGCGATCTTCAGCATCAGCCATACGTGCTTCCATTGTTTCTATTTTGTGTTCCAGTGTCGCCACATGATCGGCCATGTCGTTGTGCGCTGTGGCATACTCGCTCAATTTATTTTCCACGTGTGTGGTTCTGTTGCCAAGGTCCTGGACCTCCTTGCGGAGTTGTCCTATGGAGGATTGCCATGTTTTTATGAGTTTGTCAGCCATGTTGTTCATCGCTTCATCTAGGTGCGTTTTGGTCAGGTTTTCCTGGCTATCATGTGATGGGCCCGTGATTGGGATGTTTCCCGCTGTTTGGTCGTCGGCGCCATCTTGATTTGTGCCGCGTTCACCTTCAGAGCTGCTCGCGTTTTTGTGGGTGAAGAAATTCCGTTTTTCGTTTTTCTGTGCATTCTTCTTCCCTTTAGGGTGTGACCTCATGCGTTTTGATAGGTTTTTTTTAGTGCTGTGAGAGACGATGTTGTCGGATTCTGAGAGCCCGGGTGCCGGAGCAATTTCCTAAGCAGCCAG